ACCTTGTCACCTCTGCATGGGAGGAGGCAGGCAAAGGTTAAAACAGCTCCACACATCCCGGTTTCTAAAGCCTGGCATACAAAACTTTTTTTCTTTTTTGGGGGGAGGGGTGTCGGTTCTCCAGTTCACTGATTATCTCTTTCCATAAACTGCTAAACTACTTCGATCTTGATAGCTGAAGACTATTTTGAAATATAGGGCTGTCTGCCCTGAGATGTGTCTCAGAAAAACCTAGGTAAAGGCTGCAGAAGGATTTTGTTCTGGTTCCTCCACAGAGCTTAGCTTTTAACAATTTCAAAAAACTTAGCCAGTCCGCCTAGCTCTTCTCCAGGTCCCAGGAAGATCGCCACAAGAAACATGTGCGTTTCTGCCTTCCAGAGGACTCCGTTGGTAAGGACAACTTATGCCTCCAAAAGTATAAAGAAAAGAAATAGAGCCCCCCCTCCCACCCACCCAAAGAATCTAGACGTTGGCACTTGTGCCTGAGAACTATAGGGAAAGTTGGTGCAAAATAAACTACAAAAAATTCAGAATCATGACTCTGTGTGCTTGCTTTTAACATTTTAAGAAATGTGTGCAGCCTAAAGCCATTTCAAAAAAACAGTTTGCATTTTCTCATCCAGAATCTTCTATTATGTCAAACTTAAAAATAGGCCTGATTTAAACATGAATTCTTTCCAACTGCCTTACCTTGCAGGTGTTGGTTTTTCGAAAAAAGCAATTAATTGTCGTTCTCCCTAACCTTTCGGGCCCAGAAATCAATGCGTTGCTATTAAGCTGCTCACAATGGGTGAGTTACTTTGGTAAATAACAGAATTTCGTTCTTCATATAAATACGAGACATTTTTATGACACTTCATAGGAGAGCCAGTGTTTCATCTGAGATTCGTGGTTTTTATTTTCTTCCAATATTATCTTTTCCTTAAGAGAGCTGAGCACCAAAATACTTTCTTAATAAATGAATGGGATCTGAATGGGCCATCTATGTAGTTATAAGAATCTTAAAAGAATCAGAGAAGGAAAAACCCCAATATACACAAAGATGCACACAAGAACACACTGAAATCCCATCACTGGGTTTTAATCATCTTTTTAAATAATCCTTGAGGATTATTTCTCTCAGTGAATAAGCTTCCCAGTGGCAGTCATCTTTCTATAAGTACTTTGAGACTTGTTGAATACCATTTAAGGGACAAATCATATTTGCCATAATCTTGCTCTCACAAGGAACAGAAAAATGACCAAGTTTAAAATTATTTTCGAGTGTTTCTGACATTACAGTTGCACTAAAGTAGAAGAATATAACGGCACACGAAGAGCAACTCTTGGTTTTTTGAACGGGCTTCGAAGAAGCTATCATTGTGGCTGCTTAGAGTGGCTTGGGCTTTTCTGGTAAGCACAGACACTTCAACACACACGCGGGATACAACACAGCGCCTTGGGCCCGTCCATGCTGCAGGGCTGCTGTCCCTGAGGTCTACAAACTTTTCTGGGTCCCACTCTGCGTGGGTACCAGGAAATGCAAGGTGCATCAGAAGAGCACAAATGAGATTTAATTAACTTACATTGGATGTTTCAGTTACTGTATTCTAAGACCATCTCGAGCCATCAGAAAAAGTAACCGTAATGTTTGGAGAAGGGTTTGCTTTCTAAAAATTGAACCACCTTTATAGACACATAAAAAAAACCAGAACAAAACAAAAAAACCCAAACTCCTACAAGTATGTGTAAGGTGTGGGGAAGAAAAAGACCTGGCCGAATTCACTGCAGAAAAGGAGACTTTTAAAAGTTAACTTTGAGCTATGACATGAACTTTCAATTCTATTTATCTCACAACCATTCCCAAATAAAAAGAACTGGGGTCTGTTAGGCCCTCCTGCACGGCAGGCACTGGGGAGGATTACTTGTGTACTAATATTATTACAACACACTAAATCCTGTAGCCCTATTACAAAATCTACCCTCTAGGCAACTTCTCCCAAACTTATTGTTCAACCATGTAAAAACAGTCATAACCTAAAACCATTACTACCGAAGAAAAAGAGGAGGGGGTGGGGAGAGGTGAGGGCAGAGGGCTGGGAGGGAGGTGTTTCCTGGGGTGCCCCTAACAATTTAACTGGTTCTCAGGACAATGAACCAGCTTTGGGGGGAAGAAAAAACAGAGGAAAGAAAAAGACATGAAGAGACAGAGAGAAAAGAAAAGAAACTTGATTCAGTTACTTAATTAACTTACCTCAAAGCTCAAATAAACTAAAAAAAAAAGGGGGGTACTAATAAATAATAATGGTAAGAGGTAGTGAACCTTTTATGCTATCGCTTTATGAGAAGCTTTAACTATTAAAAATTCCGGATCCAGCAGGCAAAAGGCAAAGATCTATCACGCATCACTTCCCTGCGAAGCCAGTCTTTTATTTTGTCTTCTGAAAATGTAGAAAATCAGTGCAAATTTTAAAAATAGACTAAAAAAACCCCCCGCAAAACCAAAAAGCAAAGCCTTGTCTACCCTCTCCTTGGGTACCTTGTATACAAACTGCCAACCTGAACAGTATTAGAGGGTAAAAGGTCCATCAGAAACTTAGGAAAAATCAGTGTGGGGACCAGAAGCAGAAAAAAAACAGCTGAGAAAACCCGGAAAAAATACCCGGAGAGGTTGCTGCGGCCTTGGGTAATTTCACCTCGATTTACCCTTCGGGCTAGGTTGCCTTTGGGTGGAAAGCGGGGTTCAGAGGCTCTTTTCAACGGACTGAGAAATCGCAGAGACTCAGAAAGTATTAGGGGCACGGTGGGGGGGGGGCGGATATTGTAAACAATTTTCTTAGCTGGCCTCAAGTCCCCCAGTTTCTTACAGGGACCCCACGCCAGGATTCTCCTTTCCAGAGAGTCAGGGGGAAGGCAGCAGGGGCCCTTCACTTCGCCGCGCCCTCGCCCTGCCGAGAGCCAGGCCTCTGGGGAAGGACGGAGACCGAGGGCCCGGCAGCCGCTCAGCTAAGCCGGCGGAGGTGCGGATCCACGGGCACGCTTTTCGGTTCTGCAGGGAACCAACTCTTTCCTCCATACCCCCAAGTGCCGCCCGGGACGTGGGCTTCCAGAGAGGCATCCTAAGCCGCGGAAACCCGTCTGAGTTTGCCCCGCGTCCTCCTGCAGCCCAGAGGCCAGCCTCGCGCCGGGATGACCCGGGGAGCCGCTGCGTCGCCTCCGGCGCTGGGCCCAGGAGCTCGGAGGCCAGTAAAGTGAAACACCTCCAGGACCCCCAGTTCCCTGCCCGATCTCTCCCCGCTCTCGGCCGTACCTCCAGCACACAAACTTTGTTCTGCACAAGTTCATTCCCTTCGGGACCCACAGTTGTCGCCTCCAGCGGAGAAAGCGAGTGCCCTGGTTTCAGGAAGATTCTCCTCTGGTTGGCTACCTCCAAGCTCTGAAAAACTACCCTAAGACCCCCCTTCTCGACCCGTGTGGAAGTGTGGAGCTACACGATCCGCAGAGGATGCACACCTAATATAAAGATTTTAGGGGGTGGAGGTGCAAGCGTTGGGAGGAAAGATTCCAGGAGAAATTTAGGGAGCCAGACCCCGACTCCTCCCCTCCTCTGCCTGCACGGTCTCGGGAACAGCCCGCAGCAAGGACAACTCTCCGCTCCAGTCGCGACCCCAGCGTGTCAGGCGCCGGCACCCAGACACAGGTCCCACGTTCTTGCAGCTTTGAACCCCCAAAGACACCCCAATCCGCCGCGCGGGCCGAGGGAGAGTGTGAGCCTGGGGAAGGGGAGGCGCAGCGAGCTGCCCCCACGCTCGGGAGTTCAGCCGGTGCGAGAAGTAAACTTCCTTCCCGCCGGCAGCAGGGACTGGCGGCCGAGGCCGGGCCGGGGCCCGGGCGCCACGCGGGGAGCGCTGGGGGCCCCCGCACGTAGGCGCGGGCCACCTCCGACCGCACCCGCTCCTCGCTGGGCTTCCAGGTCCGGGCTGCGGCTCATTTCCCCGGAAAAGCCGGGACCAAGAAGCAAGGCCAGCATGCCTTCCCTCCTCCCCCGGGAGGACCCAGCAACTCCGGAAAGATCCTGCCGGGAGATGTGCTAGCTTCTCCAGGGCAGGAGAAGCCCAGCAAAGGCAAATTGAAAATTAAAAAGAAAAAAAATGCTCCCAGTGGAAAAGGCGATCGGGGATGCAGCAGCAGAGGGAGTGGGCGCGGGGGCCAGCCGCGTGTGCGTGGGTCCGAGTGTGCGTGAGTGTGTGTGTGTGTGTGTGTGTCCGCGGCGCGGGCCGGAGCACTCACCATCTCGCCGGGGGAGCGAGGCCACTTCGGGGTCGGATTGGAAATGTTGAGGCTTCGCTTGCTTCCTCCGCGACATGCTGGCTCAAACATCAGCTGGGGCAGAATAAAAAATTACTAAAAAAAAATCTTCTCAAAATTACGGAAATCGAGCGGCGGCGGCGGCGGCGGCTCCCCCCGCCCGCCGGCCCGCCCGCCCCCTCCCCGGCTCCCCGGCCCCGGGCGCAGCGCGCATGTGTCCTGCTATAATTATGATTATCAATAATGCATTGCGATTAATCATAGAGGGGCTCTTTGAAAGGCGATTGGCACCGAGCCAGCGCTATTCAAACCCGCTCGCCTTAATCAATTAGTTCGTGATTTGCTGCAGACCCCTGTCTCTCCGCGCGCTGGCCCAATAAGCCGGCCGCGGGGCTGGCTCTGCGCGCCGCGCCGCCCGACACTGGGTTAACCCTCTTTGCGACCGTCCGAGACTCCGCTGCCCGGCCGCTGGGGGCCGACCTCTACTCCACTGCGCGCCCGGCGCCCCGGCCGGCGCCCCCTGCTCCCTCCCTCCTTCCTACCCACCCCCCCCATGCCGGGCTGGGCCGACCCAAATTAGCAAGCCCTCCCCGGAATTAAGCCGCCCGGGGTGGGGGTGGGGTGGGGGTGGGGCCGGGCGGCGGGGGCTGTGGACCTAGGCTGCGAGCGCCCTGCGAACTTCCCAACTCCGGCGCTAGGCGCGCCGGCCCGCGGGGGGAGGGAGTCCTGTGGAGGGATTTGGGGAGCTGGCGTCTCTTTTCGTGTTTCTTCGTATCTTTAAGAGGTACCAGAAAGCAGCCCACCCCCACCCCCATTAAAAAAAATAAGCGAGTGGGGAAGAGCCAGCCCCACGCCGGTCCGCCTCCCGCCCACGGTTCGGCCTCCCTCCCGCCCGCCGCCTGGCTAGGCGCTCCTTCGCCCCGAGTTCTCCATCCCCTGAATCCCGGGCTCGCGGGGGCGCGGAGAAGAGGATCCAGGAAAGGTTTGGGAACGTGAATGGGTTTAGGGCGGGGGGGAGGGGCAGCTCTCTCGCCACCCCATCCCCTCCCCCCACGGGGCCCTGATCTTCTAGCCTCTCGCTTGCTCCCTCGCTCCCTTTCTCTACCTCGGACATTCCCGGGACAATTAGGGCTGAAGTTTTCGGGAGAAGCAGCCCCAAGCCCGTGGGATAAGGGGGCGGCTCGACTCCGCCCAGGACCCCTCCCGGACCTCCCCCCCGGCCGCCCCGGTTGGCTGCAGGGCGCGTCACTCCGCGGGGAGGCGGCGGTGGCGCCGCCGAGCCTAGGGCGGGCGGAGAGCTGGGACCGGCCTGGGCTCGGAGTTCAGCTCCGTCCGGGGGGAGGGGAGGGGCTGCTGCTTACCCGGTGCGCGGCAGCCCGCCCCCGGCATGGGGTGGCGCGACCCGGCCAAGCTTGGTCCTGGACAAGTCCAGTCCCTGGGACCCCTGCACTCCCTGCCCTGGGGAGGGTGCAGTTCCCAACTTGCTGGTTCTAGATGGTGGCGCCGAGACGGGGGTTGGGGGGTGGGTGTCCTTGTCCGCGCTGCCTGGCGACGCAGAAGCTCGCCTCCACTTTTGGGCACTGCCCGAGTGCGGCGCCCAAACTTTTCGCTCTCACTCCAGCTCCCGGAGCTGGGCTGCAGCCTCCCTGCCCGCGCCCCGGAGTGCAGAACCGGGAGCTGGGTCCTTCTACCCGGCGCTGGCGTCCGCAAACCTGGGACTCGGTCGGCTGCTCAGCCCAGCTCTTTTCCCCTCGCGCCGCGGGGTCTCCTGGTTCCAAGGTTCCCGCAGTCCGGTGCCCAGAGGTCTAAACTAACTAAACTTTGGCTGAGTAGTGGGAGAGGAGGGGTGCGGATACACAATCCCTACCCTATCTTGCAATCGGGAAGGGAGAGGGCTCATGAGGACGCCCCAGTTTGGGAGCGCCCTTGAGGCTGGATGGTGCCGCAGTCGGTTCGCGCGAAGTGGGCGCCAGTTGCCGAGGCAGAGCTTGGGGGACTCCCGACCCTACCGCGCGCCCCTAAAGTGACCCTTTTCTCTTTCTCATAGCTTCTTCAGCCTTGTCTTTCTTTTTTAAAGGTCTAAAGGTTTTGTGCGGGGGTGTGTGTGAATGTTTTTGTTGTCCATCTGCTGACTTTTCCCCTTAATATAACTTCTCCATTCTTTCTCCTTGTTCTCTCTCTTTTCACCTTTTCTCCAATCGCTGTAATTTCTCCCCTCTCTCTCTCACACACACACTCCCTCTCCCCTCTCTCCCTCGCTCCCCTTTCTCCCCAGGTCCTGTTGGGTACAGTAGATTTTGATAAAAAGACAAACGAAGCTATCAGTGCGGCTGATGTTGAAGAATGAAGATAATAATGTTTCCATAGGTGGTGCTTCAAATGCCATTATTTCTCACTGAATATTTAAAGAGATCCCTCGGCAAAGATGGATCTGTGCGCTCCTGGGGTGCGAGCAACTCGCTTCCCCCAGCCCCCCGGGAGCATGTAGGGGAGCACATGTAAATCCCGCACCCCCATCCCTGCCCGGCAAACAGGAGTCCGTGCAGACACAGCAATCCACGCTCGCCCCAGGTACACGCACGCGGCCGTGTGCACTTGCACACGCGTTTTCCTGATGATGCCGGAGTTTGGAACTGCCCGCATCCGTCACTAACAAGCTTGGCTTCTTTAAAGCCCGGGCCTCCCCGGCACCTCGTGCTGCCGGGAACCAAGCCCAGCTGGCGGCCCCGCAACCCTTCCTGCGGCACGGCGCGGGGAGTGCGCCCCGAGAAGCTCCGGGAATAGCTTCACACGTGTTCGTACCTTGCTCTCTGTGGGATGAAGATTAAGAGGGGGGGGGAGAGTTTTTCCTCCCCCCTTAACACTGTCACAACCAACCAAACGAAATGAACATGTAAAATCAGCTTCGGGATGTTCAATTAAAAAATGGTCAAGGAGAGACGAATTGATTGGGGGCATCCAAACTTCAGTAACTTTTTTCGTTCTTTTGCGTCCTCGACGGCGTGGAAGCCGGCGTTTCGCTCTGCGCTCGGCGTCCCCAGCTAATTTCTTGTTTGTTTTCTTTCACTCGGTGGCCAGGGTAGAGGAGAGGGGAGGCAGAGGAGGGGGGATGGGAGGAGGGGGAGGGTCGCAATGGCCCGGAGAGGAGAATTGGCCTGTATTGTTGATGGCGATACATCAATTACCGACCATTGTCTCGGGCCCAAGTTCCGTGGTTCGCTTGTGCAGGCGCCGCAGTGTCAGGGCGCTGGCGAGGCTCCGCGTGCCGCGATGCGGAGAAATAATTAAATCAATAAAAAAACGGAGACAGAGTGGGGCTTAATTTTTATTTTTGAGCAGGTCGAAAGGCGGCAGCGAATGCGAGTGAGGTGCCACAACTGCAGTCCCTCCCCACGGCCTCTGACCCCTGAGACCTTCGCGCTCTACACGGGGTCGAGCCGTCCCTGGGGGAATCCGGGCGAGTACGTTCGGACATGCAGGTTCCTCCGGAATACCAGGGGCAGATCCGCGACTGGGAGTGAAGTGCGGGAAGCCGGGAGAGGCGGCAGCTGCGTCAGGGTCGCGACCTCCTCGCGGCCGAGAGGAACCGCACTCGGGGAGGCGCTTGGCGAGTTTTGTAAACTCCCAGCTTGGGGATTCCATGCTTGTTTCTACCAATACGCCCCCTCAGTTTTCCCAAGACCTAGTCTGGAGCATCCTCAGTGGGTTGGTGGGGCAGAAGGGCTGCGCCCCAAGGCCGCGGGCCACGATTCAGTTCCCAGCAGAGGGGTTTCCGGGCTGCCGCGCTTCAATCGCAGATTCTAGAAAGGGGAGAGGGAAGTTGAGACGCCTCATTCTGAGACCTGGCCCTTCTAGCCTCAAAAGTATCTTATTTTGGCCTAATTTGACCCTGGGTCTGGCATGGGGCCTGGAATGAGGCCTTGCCTGGGCTCACCCTCTTTCCCATTCTGCCGGAACTGGGTGGGCACACAACCCCAGAAATGTTGGGCGCCTCACGCACGCTGCCTGCACCCCTTTCCTCGTCCCCCGGCTCCAGGCCCTGCTGGCCCCTGGCGGAGGCTAGGAAGGCTGTAGAGGAGGTTTCGTTTTCTAGCAAAAAGCGGCGAAAAGGCAGCAGCGGCGCCCCGAGGGCGGGGGAGGAGGCTCACCGATGGTATCACCGTTATTGATGGGGAAACGTTCGGGGCAGGAGCCCAGAGATCAGGTTCCCAGTCCCTCCCCTCCCGGGAGGTGGGTGGGACAGAGCTGCTAGTGAGCTCTGAGTGTGTGTGTGCGCGTGTGTGTGCGTTTGGGGGGGCGCCTGAATGCACCCGTATTCACCACCCAGGGTTTATTTGTATTTTCCTAGTCTGAAAGTTCTTTTTTTTGGGGGGGGGGCGTTCGTAGAGAGAGGAAGGGTTGAGGTGGCTTGCACTCAGCCCTTAGGACACTTTCTCAGGCTTGGGGCTGAGTGGGTGGGAGAAGAGGGTTAAGAAAAATGACATAAAGCAAAGTCCGAGTTTGGAAAGCTTACTATAAATTCAGTTATTTTTCCAAATCCCGGACTTCGCTTTCCCGGGAGTTTCAGAAACTCCGTTTTTAACTGTAGTGCTGTGGCTCAAATAATAACCTCTCCTTGAACACCCCAAGCGGTTTCGAACCCTAGGCCTGGGGGAGCAGGCTCCGGTGGTGCCCCCGCCCCTAGCCGAGTCTACGCTGTGTGCCCCGCGCACTTGCGCTCAAGCTGCTAAATTCCAGAGGCGTAAAGGCGCATTTGGGGGTAGAGGTTGGAGGGGGCGGGGGGACCCCTGTGGCCCATCGCCAAGGGCTATCTCCAGACCCGCGGCGGCTTCTGCGCGGGGACCCCGCGTCCGGTCGCCGGCTCGGGCGAGATTCAGCCGAGGCAGGCGGAGGGCGGACTTGGTAACTACCCGCGCGCGTCTCAGCCTAGAATCGCTTAGAGCCTGCCCCCGGCAAACTTCGTTTTTCTTCGCTTGGAGGGCCATTCCCATACGGCATTTAGCAACTGACTTCGCTAGCGACTGCAAGCTCTAGTGATTTTTATTTTCCATCCACACTGGGCGTCTCGCACTCACTCACTGCACCCCGCATGCAACAGTGCCTCGCTCAGGGGTCTCAGGGAATGAAATTCCTCTCAATGAAAATGTCCCGAGGTAGAGAAAGTGGAAAAGGCTAAACAAATTTATAAAAAGAAAACCTTTGTTACCTTTTGGTTCAATCTCTTTGCGGTTTTCTAAGCCTGGAAAAAAAAAAAATCGTCACCATGCAACAGTGTAGCTAATTCTTGGAACCTACTAGTGGGATGTTCACCAAGCCCAGCAGGGCGCACAGATTCCTATGCCAGCTCGAGGAGGACTTCAGGATCCAGTAAAGAGTGACTAGTTCTTACACGTCTGATGTAGGAAGTAGTTGTGAGATCTGGACCCTCAGTGTGTGCTTTTGGAGAGACTGGGTGTCTGCCAGGAAACTCATCTTCATTCATAACGGAGGTCCTCTCAAACGACCGCCCTGGGGCACTCCTAGATGGACTAATTTAGCAAATCTCTTGCAACAAAGTTTTTTTTTTTTTTTTTTTAAACTGATGCATGGTAACCTTTTTAAAAAATAAAAGCAAAATGTCTGTTTTTAAAGAACAGATTAAAAATTCTCAGAGATGAGCATCTTGGTTTTATGAAAAAAGTGTGTGCAGTGAAACTTTGGTGAATGGCTTCTCTCCAACAGCTTTCATGCAGGGAGGCACCTTTTGGTTTCTGTTTGGTAGAAATGAAATGGCAATGTCTGGTTTCAGAACTTTGCTGGGGAACTGACACTTCCCTATGAGCAAGGCCTGCCTGTCGCTTTATTGGTAATTGATAAAGTCTCAGCTGAGCTACGACTTTCAAACAGGGAGTATTTCTTTGGGTTTCTGACTACTGGCTTTTGAGTGAAGTTGGTTTTGTTT